TCAAAGGACTAAACTTTGAACATAATAAAAAGGCGGTAGCCGAGTGGTTAGCATGAGAGACTCTCACGCCGCGGTCGTGGGTTCGATTCCCACCGTCGCCTCTGGCCCTTTTTTCACGATAACCCCCCCCCCAATTTGAACACACATATATAACAATTGTCACCATGGCTAATATGCATAGATCATAACGCCAAAAAAAATTATTCGCGTACACTTATGTTATTGCCTATTGACGTTATCTTAATGATTTTTAAAATACAGAAGCTCTAGATCCAATCAGATGAGTGATTTGTGTGGCAAAGTGTCGTAAAATAGATCTGGCAACACATTTGGGAAAAAGATTACTTCCCACAAACCGTCGAGGTCGGTGAATACCCAATTTATTCTCTCCTCATTTTTCGAATTCGAGACTTTGGTTTGAATTCTTCGTTATTTATTATTAAGGATCCAAACCCTACAATCTTCCAAACATGTAAGTTTCAAAACCTGAGATTTTCGACAAACTGTCAACTGGTCTATTCATTTTAGACGAGAAAAGCCACTTGTTGCTTCGGAAATATGTTTTATTGGATTTCCCTTGCAAGTTAGTCTTATTATAGCACACGCTAAAATGGATTGAGCGATGGAGGAGTAGTAGATACATTGAAAATATTTGTTTACAAAATTTCGTAAACACCAGTGAACCTTATTTAGAAATGATTATTCAGAAACCGTGAGATGCGATCTTGAGTCATGTAGGTTTCAGAAAAACATTTTCTTTATCGTGCCAACGTTTCGATCTTTATTGAGATCATCTTCCGGGCCTGGGATTTACAAACAGTGTTTAAATTTAACAAAAACATGTAGGATGTGGAAAAAAGTGAAGTAAAAAGTAATCATCACACACTTGTTTAGAAAAGTGGTACATGGAATTACATCCCTCTCGGAGCTGTACAACAAACTGTAATCAAACAGAAACTTTCTGTAGAATGTAATTAATTGAAACAATCAGTGCGAGACAATTTTATTTACTTCTGTTGCATTTTAATTTGACATTGAATAAAATCGTAATTTTAAGCCCATGCTTGGCAGGGCATATTGTATGAGGACTCCTGCCTGTGAGCTGTCCAACAATTTAATTATGTTTACTTTTTATAGGGAACAACTCCCAATGTTCATTTCACGAATTTCACCCATTCAACAAGAATTGGAGAATATTCTCTACAGCACGCGAGTAACAGATCCGTCATAACCCCCGAGGCGATTCGGAGAAATCAGACACAATTCACATCTGAATTTAAACAACCATTTAAGCTCCTTAGATGACAATATACCCAAGTTACCTTTGCTTTACATAAACATACTTGTTTTTTGGGAGAGCTGATAGAAAAAACTAACTGGATTTTGCCAACTCAAACCATCTGTTGGCTGAAGACCATCAGTAAGAGAGTTGAGAAAACACGAGACGGACAGCGTTTACCTGGATTTGACGTGTAAAAATTCCATATTTTTCGCCAAAAGAAGGCAATTGTAAGAACGGAATGGAGAATCGTAGGATCACAGTTTATCAGTAAATCAGGAATTTTAAAATCTGCACCCACCTTTTTTTGATTGTCACCACTCTCACATTCCCATTGAGTCTGCACTCACCCGTCGAGAAACCCACTCATGCATTTTTTAAATTTATTTTCTTCCATAATCCGACAAAAAGATTCTTGAATTGCTTTTGTTCAGAGTTGTTATTGCTTTTTCTTCCCTGTGAATCTCTTCTGTTTTAAGGTCTTATCAGACAGTAAAAAATCCAATCTTGCAGGAGTTCAAGCCGTCTTTTCTAACCTATCCAATTTATTCTTGCAAAACCTAAGGCGACTTTGAGCTGATGATGTTCGAGTGCTTGATGCCTGTTTGACTCTCAGACATGAAAAATCTTTGGTTTTATATTCTCGGTTATCATAGAATTGAGAGAACGTTCTCACATTTCTTCCTCTACTGGTGTAAAATTTGTGTAATTAGTGCAAATATTTTTGTTTTTATGCTGACAATGATATATACATGCAAACTTCTGTATCTTTAGTTCTTTTTGTTTGGCAGTTTGTACGGGTTCATTTGCAATTGATCACACAAGCATGGTTCACACCCGGAAGAAAATTGGTTGATGAAAGGCCCAGGGCTTGTTATGGTTCTCAACATCGTTAGTGCACGATTTAATATTTTCATATCATTTCAAGCTTTCATATAAATCCATTATATTTCGTGGTCCGATTGACCAAATAACTTCTTTCAATTAATTAATCTTTATATAAGGTATTGGTTGAAATGAAATGTTTCATATATAACTATAGTCAGTAACTTATCGAAACGCTCAAATGGTTGCAGGTTGAAAAGTACATGCGAAAGATCAGAAAAAGGGATAAAAACAGACAGAAGGCCGGCGATGCCTTCAGCTCTGGTCGAGCCCTAAAATTCCCAAATTACTATTATTATTACATGTCAATTGTCACTTTTTAATCTTAGTTTCTGTTGTCACAGGGTCCGATATCTAGGAAACCATCAACCCAATGCACAGTGAATGGGGTTCCATCACTAAGCTCTCCCTTTATTTTCAGTTTAGTTAGTTCAAACATACAGGATTTAAAAACATTATAAAAAGTATGCTGTAGTTTTCAATTGTCCAGTCAGAACATATTTTTCATTTTTATAATGGCAGCAATTCATTGATTCTTTCATACATTTTTCAGTTTTAAATATTAATAAAATCGCTAGTAAGTCAAAACGAACATTGCAAGAAAATTAATAACATTTAAATTATATAATCAAAAATTATTTCAATATTTATTTTTAAAGAATGTTTCATTAAATGCAGCTATAATTCCCTTTTAGACAAGTTCCCATTAAAAAAAAAAATTAAATAAAAAAAACGTTTTCTAGAAAACCATCAACCCAACGCACAGTGATTACTAAGCTCTCCCTCTATTTTAAGCTTAGATGGTTCAAACGTACAGAATTTGAAATCATTATAAAAAGTTATTTATTTAGAAATCGTGAGATGCGGTCTGGTGTGATGTAGGTTTCAGAAAAACATTTTCTTTATCGTGCCAACGTTTCGATCTTTTATTGAGATCATCTTCAGGGCTCAAGATCTTATCTTGTCTTCTGTGTAATTGTGCCATCCTTGTGTGTCGTGTTGAGAGTTTTTGTCTCAACACGACACACAAGGATGGCACAATTACACAGAAGACAAGATAAGATCTTGAGCCCTGAAGATGGTCTCAATAAAAGATCGAAACGTTGGCACGATAAAGACAATGTTTTTCTGAAACCTACATCACACCAGACTGCATCTCACGATTTCTAAATAAATATCGATTAACGGTCACTAATCACCACACATTATAAAAAGTATGCTGTAGTTTTCACTTATCCAGTCAGAGCATATTTTTCATTTTTATAATAGCAGCAATTTATTGATTCTTTCATACATTTTTCAGTTTTAAATATTAATAAAATCGCTAGTAAGTCCAAAACGAACTTTGCTAGAAAATTAATAACAGTTAAATTACATAATCAAAAGTTATTTCAATATTTATTTTTAAATATTGTTTTAGTAAATGCAGCTAGAATTCCTTTTTAGACAGGTTTCCATTTGGAAAAAAAAAGTTTTTCCTGAAACCTGCACATGTCTTAAGTCAAATGTTGCTTGAGACTCTACATTAAAAATATAAAAAAATACTTTTTCTAGAAAACCATCAACCCAATGCATAGTGATTACTAAGCTCTCCCTCTATTTTAAGCTTAGATGGTCAAACGTACAGAATTTAAAAACATTTTTAAAAGTATGCAGTAGTTTTCAATTATTCAAAAGGCACATTTATGATTTTTATAATGGCAGCAATTTACTGATTCTTCCTGCAGCTGGATTATTTTTTTATTAAGATTCAGTTTTAAATCTTAATAAAATCGCTAAGTACGAAACGAACTTTGCTAGAAAATTAATAAGTTTAAATTTCGGGGTGCCGGTGTTTTTGAAAAAAAGCCTATTACTAAGTATGTCGGGTTCGAATGCAGGGCCGCTGGATTCGAACCCGGGACCTTTACCTTGCAGTGATGAGCGCCGTGTCAACGCTCAAACCGTGCGGCCACCGACGCCCCCAACGTTTAAATTATATAATCAAAAATTATTTCAATATTATAACAACAAACTATGTCCAGGCTCTCCCGTCCATGGTAGAAGCTGGAAAGCGAGGACGGATAGTTCAGTCTAGCCTAGGCATTGGAAGGAAAACTAAAGAAAAAAATCCAGCTGAAAGCCAGTCAAATCAGATTTGTATCCACTTTGATTTTTAATAATATAAATTATTTCTGTTGTGTGGTCCATTTTCATTTATGGTTTTTGGTATTTTTCCTTTTGGTTATCAAGGTTTATTGTTTTAATGTTTCCCTTCCGGCCCATAGTATCTAATTATTCTTATATTGTTAGCTTGTAAGCAAAAGTTCATCCTTTTTTTGTTTTATTTTTTTTATATAACTTAATTCTTAATGAAATATATTTTTTATTTTTAAAGAAATAATATAGAGGTGTCCCTGTGCAATTGTGTTTCTAATTTATTTCCAATAAGATACCTTTGATTTTGAGGCAGATCACCGGCCTCAAAGTGGTAAAATCAAACCTTAAATCTTAAAAGACGGAATATAATCAATCATTCCTTAAAAGGACCCCTAAAAATGTTTTTGCCTGAAACCTGCACATGTCTCAAGTCTAATGTTGCTTTTGACTCTTCATTAAACATTAAAAAATACGTTTTCTTTTGGAAATTCAAAATTCTTCTTAATTACTGAGAAAATCTTTTAGGACTTCAGATGAGCACTTTTTTGCTGTCTTCCAGTGTTTTATTTTTTTCTATAAAAAAAAATCCGAAATCTGACTTTAAATAAATAATTTTTAGTAGAGTCTGTTCAAAATAGAAAATATAACTTTTGCTATCAAAGTGTATCGGCGTGAGTTCATACGATAAGGCATCCTCTATTAATTTAGAAATAATTTTATTCCACATAAAAAATCGTTCACATGGTTATGAATATTGAACAAATTTGACTTAATAAATAAAATATAAATCAGTCTTTAGACGACTAGAGTGTTGATGATTTTCGGAAGTTAGTTGGTCCGCCGGTGGTCTGAGCCGATGGTTGCGAAGTAGGTCCTCCGCCGCATTGAACAGTTTTTCTAGTTTTGATCATTTTCATGGAGTCCTTGGTGCTCGTCCTCCAGTAGACCTTTTCCAAGGCTTTCCCACCGACTACCAAACGACTACTCGATCCAACCAACATCTAAACAAACATTTTCAAACGTTTTAATCGTCCGTTCACTGTGCTAGGGTTCAAAGCAATTTTCCGGCCCACAGAAGAGGAGGAAATTTGATAAATGACGCTCATTTTTCATAAAGGGATTTATTAAATTCTATATTAAAAACTCGTGATTCTCAGATCGGAATATTGAATTCCACAAACATCGCCATAATACACCGTACGAAATAACCTGGATATTGAATTTCATTTATGGCGTTAAGCATACTTCTGCAAAGGTAATATGCACTATTGAGCTTAGCATATATCCGACACTGTTCCTCACAAATTATATTAAAATTAAAAAAGTAAATTTAAAACAAAATAAAATTATATAAACAAAAATCTCGGATGTATTCTTAAGTTTTTACACACAGTTAAAAAAATCACCAAGTCAATCAATCAAATATCACTGTTACCTTTTATTTTAAGTTTTCTTGATGGTCGTTTAAAGCTTGATGTGTTCATCTGCAGTACTATGAGATATGTGGATAGGCAATTGCAGAAATTTTATTTATATAATAAAAGTGGACGTCATCTGCCCCCTCTTTCTTCGGGGTATCATGCGCTTTCAGATTTGGCCCCCTGCGAATCCACTCATCACACAACAGCCACTCGATCACGTGCCCTTGCGCAATGTTTGTATTCAGGTTTCCCTTCGTTGATTCATTTAATTAATTTTTTATTATTATGTCTGAGGCTTTATTTATTAGTAAGTTGTTACGTTTAAACGAACGATACATACTAAACAGATCCCTAACGCGTTGAGCTACTAGTTTGGAAAAATAGCATTTGTCGTCCTTTGACTACTGGTAGGTATTTGTAAACAATAGTTTTAAAAATAAAATTACAAATTTTTAATGTAATTCATTACCTCTGTATAGACATTTTAAAATGAGGTCTGGTATAACTTAGGTTTTAGAAAAATATTTTCTTTATTATGCCAACGTTTCGATCTATATTGAGATCAACTTCAGGGCCTGGGATTTATAAACATCGTTTAAATTTTACAATACATGTAGGATGAGGAAAAAAATGAATTTATACAATGCTAGAAAATTTTAGATTAATAACACTTTGAGTGAGCACAAATACTTTAATTGAATCTATAAGTGTGTAGAGATTAGTGACCGTTAATCGATAGTTATTCAGATATCGTGAGATGCGGTCGGGTGTGATGTAGGATTCTGAAAAACATTTTCTTTATCGTGCCAACGTTTCGATCTTTTATTGAGATCATCTTCAGGGCCTGGGATTTACAAACAATGTTTACATTTAACAAATACATTTAGGATGTGGAAATGGGAATTTATACAATGCAAAATATATTTTATATTCAAACAAAGTATTTCTACTCACTCAAAGTGTGAGAAGTTTGACTTCTGTGTAATTGTGCTACCCTTGCGTGTCGTGTTGAGAGTGCCAGTGAGATTTTACTGTTTTATGTTTATATATGTTTGGTTTTGAAAGGGTGGGGAAGGAAGTCGGTATATAAAAGACAATTTTGTGTAAGGCGTCGACTTCTTTGAAGTGAAAAAAGCGAACAAAGGGGAACAATGTGTTGGTAATTGTTCGGCCAGATTATCCTTTCAGGATTATATATTGAAAGAGGGTAAATAGGAAAAGGAAAACTAAATTGTTGGAAAATTAGAATATGTGAAAAGTATTTGATGTGTGGAATGTAATGTAATGATATATGTATGTTATCTATATTGTATTTGATTAATGATATTGGCGTAGCTGCGACTGAGTTTACATATATCTGTTCTGTAATTGATGCTGTGTTTATCTCTGTTGATATAAACAATTTCTAAGAAATTACGTTTATATTTGTTTTGTTCTGTATGTAATATTTTTGGATTTTTGAAGTCAAAATTGTCAAAATGGTGGGTAGCGAGTGCTGTAGGATTTTGCTTGAGTTTTTTGCAATCATAGATACGTTGCTATACTCTCTTGTCCAGATATTCGGATGTAAGACCGATGTAAGTTGCCGGACAGTTTAAACAGCTGATCTTGTAGATTACGTCAGATTTATTTGTTATTGGTGTGTGATCTTTAACTTTGGAAAAAAGTGTTTGGATTGTTTTATAATTTTTGAAGGCTATTTTGAAGTTATCGGACGAGAGAAATGTGTTTAATTTATGTGATAGTCCTTGAATAAATGGTATGGAAATGTATGCTTGTTTGTTTGTATTTGATATGTTTAATGTAGTATTATTAGTAATAGTGGAATGTGTTAGTGTTGAGTTGTAGTTGTTGATTATTCTGTTAATTATGTGCTTAGGGTAGAGATTGTTATGGAGGATCTGTTTGTATATATTTATGTTCTTTTGGTGAAATGATTCATGGTTCAGGGTAATCATTCTGTGAAATAACCCTTTGGCCGTGTTTATTATTGTATGAAGAGGACGGTGTGATTTAAAGTTGAGGTAGCGATCTGTGTTTCTTGGTTTTTGGTACCAATGTGATTAATGTGCCATCTGGTTGTTTCATTACAAGTGCATCTAAAAATGAAACTCACCCACATATAAAATGACAAAATACCTAACCAACATACTCAACATCACCGATAACACATATAATGTAAATGATTCATTTCATTTCATTAATATATGAGCCATGGGTAGCAACCTAGGCCGGATACTGGCAGACATAATCATGACACATCTACTAAATACAGTCATACCACAACTTCCTTGCAGTTCCCACAGATCAAGTTCATACTACATTAGATACATTTAATAGCTCTCACCCACGCCTACAATTTACACATGAAATCGAAAACAACAAAACAATACCATTTTTAGATACACTTCTCACGATCTACAAATATTCATTGGCTAGCGGTCACTAATTACCACATATAATATAAAAATGTAAATAATATAAATTTAGAACTAAGTATTTCATACTCACAGAAAGTATTGTGCTAGTCTTGATGTGTCATATTTGTTTGTCGAACCACACTTTTTGTGAGTAAGAAATACTTGGTTCAACAATAAATGTATAAAGATTTAAATGTAATAGCATAAAAATAAATGAAACGTTCTAAAATAAATAAGAGGCGGGAAAAGTATAAATTAAATGTTCTGAGACAACAGAAAATTAACAATTCTCGGTGTTAAATTGGATAGCCAGGGGGCAATAAAAAACAAGGAGGAAAGGGTTCAGGCTCGCCGATTGGGGTAAGGTAAGAAATTCCAGAGGTTGCGGGAACGAGTGTAATACACAAAAAACAGATGAGGTGTTGAGTGAAATTGCTGTTGACGTTTCACACACACCAATACGACACCACAAGAATAGCACCATATTTTATGTGAGTATAAAACACTTGGTTCAAAGTTTATATTTACATCTGCATTGTATTTTTTCCAATTAAGGTAAGTTTTATAATTTACCCAAGATCTGAAGATGACCCGAATAAAGGTCGAAACGTTTGCAAAAAAATAAAAATCGTTTCTCTAAACCACCTCATTCTTGACTGCTCCTCACGAATCGAACAAAATTATTCTTAGGGCATACATTGCATTTTACCCAATATAGATTTTTGAAAGAGGTTCCTTACGTTTTAACATTTTATATTTTTTTGTACTAATGTTTTCGGTTTATTAGATGTTTTATTTCAGTATTCTCAGCACTATCGATGGTGGATGCAGGTACATTTGTTCTTTGGTATATTCACTTGTTACTTAGTGATAAAGGATATCAATGTTTTTTGAGAAGGCTCTTTATTTTTGTTTTGGTTTCTTCGTTGAACTTAGTGTTACTTAGTTTGATTGCTCTATCCATCAGATTACACACTCGGTTGTGTGAATTGTGAAATGTGATTCGGAAAGAGTGTGATGTTGACAAATGCACTGCTCTGCCTGTACTGGTGGGATTCTGATACCAATTCGTAACAAGCTGAGTGTCCTCTCCAGTGATCAATAAATCTAAAAAGAGCAATTCCCCATTTATTTCAGTTTCAAATATAAATTTCAATGATGGTTGGACCGAATTAAATGTGTTGACTATGATATTCAACTCTGCTTTTTACAATTAAAAAAAAGTCCTCTACATATTTTATAATGAATTTTATTGTTAAATCTTTGTAATTGAGTTCACCCAATCAATCAATTTATTCATACCGATGTCAGCTTAGGATATTTAAAGAGATTAAACTATGACATTCTGCTTCTTAACATGTAATACCGTTACATTAATAAAGTTTTGATGAAGAAAATGAAAAAAAACTATTCTTTTCATTTTGGAAAGTTTTCTTCAGAAGTATGATCTATGTAAATCAACAAATACTTTCAAAATCATCGATCATATACTTTTTAAGGAAGCTATACAAGAAATCTGAATCAATAAATTTGTACATATGTAATCTTTAGTAGTACTTCGACTTTCCAGGCAATGAGGCAATGTTGTGTACTAAAAAAGTCATAGTGGTCTATGGCTGGGGTTCATCCAATTTTGTTTTGTAACGAAGGGGGGATTGACAATCAACTCAACGATGTACTTCCGAGAAGTTAACAAAATTTGATCAAAAAGGGTGGTCCTGGTGAATGGGAAAGTTTCACGTCTTCGTCGCAATTTTTCAAACTTGGCTACGAATTTCTAACAAACCTTCTTATTTTACTGATCTATCATCCAAACTCTAACGTTCTTTTTTCTGGATTTAAACAACATTATTGGAGAAAAACCATTATAAAACAACAGCCAAATCTGCTGGCAAAATTATGAAAAATGGTAAATACATGAAATAAAATATATTGTTGTTCAGAAATATATAAATCGTTCATATATATTTTTTTAAATTTACTTATTTTTTGTTTAAAAAAAGAAAGAAGATATTTCATATGAGACTGCCTACATTCAAGCAACTAACGAATCTTCACAGACCCCCCCCCCACAATAAAATAATAGGGGTATGCACGATATTTGTGTTAACTCTGTTAAATCCTGTTAGATTGAGAAAAATGATGACGTAGACTTGTAAGAATCGGCTAGTTAACATTGCTCGATCTAACAGGCCAGCCGCAATGTTACTTGTTAGGTCGAAAATCGAGAAATGAAGTCACATTGGTGTCCGTTAGGGCGTAGGTAACAAACATGGCAGCCATGAATTTAACATTGATTTTTGTTTACACGTATTTTTATTATTAAAAAATCAGACTCATTAATTAAATCAAACATTTCTTTTTTCATTTTCTAACCTGTCCTTATACTATCATTGATAATAGATACATCCCATAAACTATAAAGTTGTAGGCTGTAATACGTTAGGATACAAGTTAGGTTTGTCGGCACGAATTGAAGCGAATTTTATATATTTTTATATTTTATAATTTTCCTTTTTTATTAACTTTTGGCATCTTACAATTTAACACAAAATAAAACCAAAACAAACAACAACAAGCCTTCTAGGACTGTTATAGCTTTATTTTTGGTTCTACCAATCGCCACGCGCAGCATTGCGGAAAAATTAACATTTAACATGCAAAGAAAAGAAGGGGGCGTTCACGATCTTACTGGACATTTCTCTATTCGAGTTAACAAGAGTTAACATCTTACAAACATCGTAAATACCCCTAATGTTTAAATTGTATTTATTTGTCTAAGTTTTTCTTTTTATATTTCTAAACTTTCTGGAAAAAACCGATTTAAAAAATCTTGGAAAAACAGTATCTCATCAATTTGAAAGGAAAACTATAGATAAAGGTCATTGTTTTGGTTAAACGTGTACTATGCTTATTCCACTAATTACAATATTCGTGTGAAATGTTTGTTAATTGAGAAATTCTTATTAAAATATGTTTGTAATTTGATCCTTACAGTTCGTCTTGGCCTACCTATGCTCACTGGATTGGTTAGTCAGGCGAGTTCGCCATTTTGCCATCTTGACTCTGCAGTGCATGCTCATCATGAAGATCATTATGGATGGAATTGCAGGTTCATCACCACGTAGACCACAGGATGACGTCTCGCGATAAAATTTGTCCGCTGTTCATCATTTGGTGAATAGGAACGAACAATATTTTCTTCCCTTTTCGCAACCTTCTCCGAAAACTACGCATATTTTTCATCTGTTCATTTACACATAAAATTCACTTTGTTGTAAGATCCAATAAAATCGCAAATAACCGAGGGTTTGTTAAAATTTTGAAGTTAGTAACCTAAGAAAAGTTGCCAAATATGAAATTTTCATCTATGGAGGTTTTATTGTCTATATAAATTAATTGCTATATTTATATGTGGACAATAAATCATTCTTATATATTTTGTTATCGTAAAAATATGGGTGTATATCAAATTGAAATGATATACTAATTTATTGGAGGGAACACGGCGCATTTCATTCTTTTCTTGGAAAATGAGAGAATAGAAAGGAGAAAATTAATTTGATTAATCAAAATTGAGGGTTGCCGCTCTTCAGGGCGAACGTTTGCACTTTTCACCACAAACAACAACCCTCCGTGAATATGTATGACGGGTGCAAATAATCGACCTTCGTTTCAACGCCCGTTTTGGTGTATGCCAGGCCACTTTTATCCAATCTGCCGCGGTCGGTTTGTTCGGGGACAAAGGTAAAAAAAAAAAAAAAAAAAAAAAAAAAAGACGATGAAAATGAAAATTTAGGGCGATGGGCATAAATGAAATCGAGCAATAATCCCGATCGGATTTAAAGGCGAAACCGTATGAATTGTTGAAAAGGGTTATAAACACCGGACCCTTCTTAATTTTTGAATGGAAGAATTTCCATAAACGATAAATACCCTTAATGTAAATTAACGTTTTTACCATTTTTGTTCACTAAGGGTATTCACGATCTTTGTGTTAACCCTGTTAACTCTGTTAGATCGAGAAAAATGATGACGCAGACTTATAAGAATTGGCTAGATAACATTGCTCGATCTAGCAGGCCAGGGCCAATGTTAGACGTCAGGTCGAAAATGTAGTCACATTGCTATCCGTTAGGGCGTAGGTAACCAACATGGCAGCCATGAATTTAACAGCTGTTTTTGTTACAAAAAACGTATTTTTATTCTTAAAAACGCATTAATTAAATCAGACCAATTATTTTGTTAATTTCTGATTTATCCTTGTACTCTCATTCATAATAGATACATCCCAGTATAAAGATATCGGCTGTTAGACGTTAGGATACGTTGGGCACTCTCAACACGACAGACAGGAATGACACATCTACACGGAAAACAAACACTTTGAGCCCTGAATATGATCTCAATAAAGATCGATAAAGGAAATGTTTTTCTAAAACCTACGTCACAACAGACCGCATGTCACGACTTCCAAATAATCGTTAGGATACAAGTTAGATATGTCTGCACAAATTGAAGCGTGTCATTTGTTAGTACTTTTCGAGTGCATAGATAGCATTTTGAATGAAAGAGTTGATTAATTTCGCTTACAATTTAATACAAAACAAAACCAAAACAAACAACAACAAGCTTTCAAGGATTGTTATAGCTTTATTTTTGGTCCTACACATCGCCACGCGTAGCAGTGCGGAAAAATTAACCTTTATCATGCTAAGAAAAGAAGGGGATGTTCACGATCTTCCTGGAAATTGTTTAATTCGAATTAACAGGAGTTAACATCTTATAAATATCGTGAATACCCCTACTGTTAAAAATTATTTTGATCGAGTCGATTGATCAGGTTCGATTTTGTCTGGTACGTTAGAAACTGGAAGTGTTACAACTGACGTGAATCAACCACTTTGAGCGCACGTCACCGTCGTAAACTATTTCGTGCGGATGGTTGGTGAATTGTTGGCAAGAATGATCGCTGCTGTTTGCCTCCAGGGCATTTTGGCAAATTAGCAATTCAGTTTTGCTTCGTCACCACTTGGAGTTCGCCGGAACGGCTTTGGTACCGATCATATCTCGACATTTCGCAACACCCTCCAAGGTATATTGTTGACTTCCTTAATTGCTCCCTTTGTTCTAACGAGCTGGCTTCACTCTGTTCAGAATGTCGGCTGTCTTATTGTACATCAAACTAATTTTTTTTTTCAGAAGTAAAGCGTGGCAACAGTAAAAACACCGGTGATTTTCTATCGTGATTATAGTGTATAATTAATTAATCTATGTGTAACGTATTGGTTGAAATGTAAAAAGTTAGTGTCACGAGCGTGATTCGTACCTTAATCATCGACCTTCGGCTGGGTTCGAATTCGGCTCGTGACTAACTTTTTCATTTCAACCAATACCTTGCATAAAAATTAATTAATTGAAAGATGTTATTTTGTCAGTCGGACAACGAAATATAATGGATAGTATACAATATTGTTTCTAACTTTAAATTTTCTATTTTTTAATATTTTTCCTTTCGTGAGATTATTGCCTGTTGTTTAATTTTCAGTAAATGGCGTTGTTTTCTTTCTTTATTTGAATTATTTTTAATGTCTTATTATGTTCGTTGTATGTCAATAAATTTAAAGGGGAATCAAAATTAAAGCATTGAGGTTGATAGTAAGTAAGCAGTAAGTACCTCATACACTCTTCATCAAAACATTTTGATAAATTTAATGTTATCGCAAAAATGGGTATTAATATCATGTGGGATTTAGTATTACAAAACAACAAAATATCAAATTATATAACAAGGAGACTATATTCAATCTGTTTGTTATTTGCATTCTGGTGTGCCATGACGCGTAGGCACACGGAGCTAGTTGTTTTAATAAAATAGTGTTTCGGATTTTTCTTTAAAAAAATGATTAAGACTTCAACCTTACGTCTACACTTTGAAATTGTACTGAAAATACTTAGTTAAAGTCCTCTCTATGCTCCTAAACAGATAGCCAAATGTAATTAAAAAGCATGATGTGGTAGTGAACATGGGTTCGGTTGAGGAATTAATTTATATGGTGTCTACAGGTCGAATAGAGTTTAAGGGCCTAGTTTAAGAAAACCTTAGAGGAATGAACACCCCCAATCCCATCATCACCTACGTGATTACCATAATTTTGTACTCCAGCTCGAATCCTATCCAAGCGAACTACAATGTCCAAAATCACCCTGAGCTTATTGAAGTCTCGTGTAAAAGACAAAATTGAATGAAGAAAAATGTACTCAGTGTACGTTCACGGTGAAAAAAACCATCTTGCCCTCCATTGTACATCAACAACGAAGAGATACTCGACGTCCAGTCAAATCAAATACTTAGGACTGTACCTAGACAGCAGATTGACGTGGAATCCCTCACAACTCTTAAGAAACAAGAACAAAAGATTTGGCCAAGTACGAAGACTTCTAGAACCAAAATCGGACTTAACCGTCACCACTAAACTAACATTTCACAAGACTTTATTGCGCCCACTTTGTACATAAAGAATAGAACTGTGGGGTTCTGCAAAGCCATCCGTCAAAGCTCCTTACTACGTCACTAACCACTAAATTTGAGATCATCAATCTGGAGACACATTTAAGATTGTTTAGCCCTGATGATGACCTTAAAATAGGTCGAAAGCTTGGTAGTAACAACTGAATTTACTTTCTTCTTCAAAACCAAACCTTGATCCAGAGTTATTCAGAAATCGTGAGATGCGGTCTGGTGTGATGAGGTTTCAGAAAAACATTTTCTTTATTGTGCCAACGTTTCGATCTTTATTGGGATCATCTACGGGGCCTGGGATTTACAGACATTGTTTACATTTAACAAATACATTTAGGATGTGGAAAAGTGAATTTATACAATGCAAAATATATTTTTTATATTCAATCAAAGTATTTCTACTCACATACTTTGATTGAATATAAAACATATATTTTGCATTATATAAAATCACTTTTCCACATCCTAAATGTATTTGTTAAATGTAAACAATGTTTGTAAATCCCAGGCCCTGAAGATGATCTCAATAAAGATCGAAACGTTGGCACGATAAAGAAAATGTTTTTCTGAAACCTACATCACACCAGACCGCATCTCACGATTTCTGAATAATTATCGATTAACGGCCACTAATCACCACACATTGATCCAGAGTATTCGTCACTGGCATGCGTCTGGTGGCATATATTATCTGGGTGCAGTACTGCATTAGTGTTAGTACTGTGACACATATGAAAAATATGTTCTGTGAACAAGCAATAACTAAATTATAGAAAAAATCCTTAGCGCAATGTCGCAACACTTGAAGAACTATTGCGTTGAGCTAGTATTGACTACCAAAATAAATTTCTGTATTGGATAAGTTTAACTCTATTCAATCCTCTATATAAAGCCCTAAATTAAATTAATATTAAAGACTAATTGTAAGTCATGTATGACAGATCAATTTAAACTTGAGATCGATAGCGAAATCAGGAGCGATTTGTTGTTTGTTATCTTACTTTACGTTCAGTATAGAAAAGTCTATTGTCCTGATTTTTGACGCATTCCAATTTTTCTGTTCTATTTCTTTTCAAAATGAATGAGTCCTAGAAAAATAATTTGTCTAGGTTATACAAATTACTTAAATTGAAAATTTCTGTTGTATATAAATCCGGGCTGTACATACTAGTTAAAGGCGTTTTCCTGCTACACACCAAAATCAATGTTCTGACTGAGGCGGTTATTTTCTAAAGAAACTTGACTGATCCGTTTGCCCAAATGGAACTTCTGAAATTATACGCCGGCCTCAAGACAAATTTGTAATAAAATTCAAAAAAGGAATGAAACCATGGAAGCGACCTCTGTCGGAAATTCGCGAGTAAACGAGTTTAACTCCTAAGTTACAACTCCTGGGCTAAGAAAAAAAGGATAGGAGACCTTTCAAGTTGATTGACCACGTAAAACCAACTTTGTTTTAAACTAACTCAATACAAGAGGTAGCAGTAACACAACCTCGTTTGGAAGGAGAAACAACTGCTTAGAGTACAATTCACTCATCCTTAAAAACAATCTCGTTACTGATTGCCCCGAAAATCACATCTTAATAGCTCCTATTTTATTATAAAATACTTTTGTTTATTTGTACCAAGATGATTTTTTTAATATAATTTAATTATTTAATGATTTTCAGTTTGTTACTTGGTTGTTTTAAGTTGAGGATGTTAATAAAAATACATACAGTGTGTGGTGATTAGTGACCGTTAATCGATAATTATTCAGAAATCGTGAGATGCGGTCTGGTGTGATGTAGGTTTCAGAAAAACATTTTCTTTATCGTGCCNGATGATCTCAATAAAGATCGAAACGTTGGCACGATAAAGAAAATGTTTTTCTGAAACCTACATCACACCAGACCGCATCTCACGATTTCTGAATAATAAAATATACAGTGTCTCACATATTTAATCGGTAATTCACTATAAGCACTAGGAATCTTTTTTATTATATGTTACATTTAATAATAATAATGCTTTATTGAACTTAAGAAAAGTTAGGGGGGACCGCGGTAGCCGCGTGGTTAGACACTCTGTTCATAGACGCGATCGTGGGTTCGATTCCCACGTCTCCTCTGGCTTTTTTTTCATGATCCCCCTCCCTAAATATGAATACACATATAATAATCGTCTCCTTGGCTAACAAACGTCGATCATAAGGCAATTATTTAAAAAAAAAGAAGAAAAAAAAGAAATTGAGCTTTCAAACCATTTATGGA